ACCATACAGCACGCGGACATGCCACATGCGGTTGCTCAGACTTATCACAAAAAACAAGCAGAGCGCCGAAGCACCGTCGCATCACACGTGACGATTGCGCCATCGAGCCCTCTACGAGCGGCCTTCCAGGCCAGCTGGGATCGTTTCCGCTCGAAATCATCATTGCAGGCCATGCTCCCACGAGTTGAACGGTGTCGCATATTCCAGACCTGCGCAAGGAAGAAGTGCAGTTGCATGAACGGCCATTTAAAGAAAAAAAAAGAAGTCAATTATGGCTGAGCAAAGGAGCAGGTACCAAAGGATTACAGAAGCATCCCGACTAAATACTCAAGCATCCCCAGCCAAGGCACGCCAAAAACTCTACCATGCACCTCGTGGTCTCCCTTCGTCTCCTTTATCTAAATTTACCTTTGAACGTTCCCATCGTGAACATTCAAATCAGGTTCATGCCTTGAACCGGGTGTCAAAACGGTCGAATGTGGTAATACGAGGGCGACGTAACGTTATCATCTTCGTAGGCCAAGCAATCTCAGCAAAGGCAGACTTGGAACTTGACGCCCACTCGAGAAATTGGGGACTCCCACACATGAAAGAAGAAGAGTTCCGAGCATACGTTATCAGGTGTACGAAAGTCACTTCTGAATTATTACGCCTCCAGTACCATGACTACCTTCCATCATCTTCACGACAGCATGAGGACTGGGAAGGGAAATTATTAAAATCCCGTGGTACTGAGAGGAAAAGAACCGCTATGATCCCAACTAAGATGACTTCTGTATAAAGACTGAGATCTCGTCCTGGCGAAGAAGTCATCCTTCCTCCAGGAATGGAAGGGGACTCAAAATGTAACACACGTGAACGTTTTACACGTCCCTACGGAAAAGTCATTATCGAACCCTCCTAAGGTAGGGAGCGGGTTGTGGACCTAGAATGCCTCTCTTTCTGTTTGTAATTTTTGGGATGGCATGGAGAGACGTTCATTGAGCGGCTTGGGATCGGTGGTGTAGTGGTGGCACACTTGATCGTCCATCAGTAGGTCCTACGTTCGATTCTCGTCCGCTCCATTCTTTTTCTTTTGTCCTCTTAGAACTCTTCTCCCATCCCCGAGGCTATTACGTTCTCGAGAACAGATCCGACAGTCGCAACGGCTGGGAAAAGAAATGCGCGCCCAAGAGAGGGAGACGTGCAGGCAGACAAGAGATCGCACTGAGCGCATGCGTTAGTCACATGTGCGTGCGCATGTCTCCGGAGAGGCCTTCCCTACAATGTAAATCGAAGACGCTCTACCTCTCGGGTAAATATATAATAAAATTCATTTCGATGGTTGAGCCCAGTGGATGCCTCTGATTTGAGCATCAGTGCCTTCCTATGCACAGAATTACATGCAATACGTGTTAAATATGTTTGCCTCTTTAGAGCTGCCCTTGCATTAATTCCAGGTTTTTCTTCAACATGCTGATAACGATTACAGCAGATAGCAGTCAGATAGCAGTCAGATAGCAGTCAGATAGCAATCCGACAGCACAGCTCCTATTCCATCCCTGCTTCTTATGTCGTCCCCTAAAATTCCGCGAACAATATGTGCCGGCGTCGTCTTCGCCACGGAAAGGAAAGCAGAAGTCCAGCTTGGGCAAATTTGTGTGCAAAAAATGAGAGAAAATGTCTTGCCTCCGAGGAATGGCTCCTTGTTCATTCAAGACTCATCACCTGGAGGCGAAGTTATGACCAGTATTAGAGAAAGCATGACCAAACCTTACCAATACCATATTCTGAGACGTTATTGGTGCGACCCTACTCCTGTTAGGCTTTATAATAGTTCCTTCTCCCAATTTCTCATGAAGTCTGAGCACCTTTGTCGGAGGGGGCGGGGGGGAGGATAGGCGATGAGTGTCTCACATGATAGAGAACATGAAATTGCATTAACTAATAAATCAAATTATTTACCTTCCGTTCGCATGGAACTGGGTCCCTTCTATCTATACTGCATTCACGTGCGACTTTCAATGAACGAAAATGAAGTTTTCCTATGATGGATTACAGGCAACGCCACCTTTAGTACAGTTGAGGAATCAAGGTGAAGCCTGTCGGCTCCTAAAGATGTCTTCCTATTTATCTTCTGGTCATGGAATGGCGGAAAGTACGTGAACAAAATTTTGGACTGTGGATCCTACCCATCTTCATGCAGTAGCTGGTACTTGACGTTTTATCGATTCTCCATGATCATACTCCATCGCTTATTTTCAGACGGAATTCATGGCCGGTGTATGTTTTTGAACCTACTAGTAGTCAATATAGATCACGTTTCTCTCCTCATTGCATGGGATTCATATACGGGATTTGAGTACTATGTCGATTCCTTGACAAAATTTGATTAATAGCCATTAAGAAACTTTTCATGCATGGAGTTGAACGGCAATGGAAAATAAATGCATCAGATCGATTTTTTCCATATGAAATCTTGAAACATGTCAAGTTCTGAGGGCAAAATAGTGCGATAGAGAGAGAGGGAGAGGGAAGAAATGAAAATGAATATGAAATAAAATAGGCAAAAAGGAGGAATATCTTCCAAATACCAGAATAAAAAATAATTCCTTCCTACCAAAAGCGCACAAGAAAATCTTTTCTCTCATCTACATAAGCTCGACTCCGGAAGCAATGGGTTGCCTCCTCCATGAGTTCTCGCGTGAAGGACTTTAGCCTTGGGGCGTGCTCAGCTAGCTCTGCTGAGGGCTCCAGCATCCCATGACGTCATGTTAGGGCTGAGCTGCTCAGCGCTCCCATAGTGCGCTATGTACCGCTGCCGGGTGCTTGCCCAGGAGTGACGTCATTCAATGACGTGTTCGAGCCTAGCCAACGCGTCTTTTTCGCTAGCAGCTGCTAGCAGCTGCTAGCGGAAGCGGAAATGCTCTTGCTTTGGCATCGTGTCTCATCCTGCTTCCGTGCTACCTCACCATACTGCGCCATTTTCGAGCGTGGGATCTGGAAACCGGAGAACGCAGACGTGTTCATGCCAATACGTGTTTTTACGATGTCGCCATTGGAAATGCGACTAATATAGGAAATTCGCGTTCCTTTCCAAAATATCGCAGGAAGCGAATCATCATCAAACCCACCTACGCGATAATGTTCTCATTATTTCTATGACACGTGTGCAAGTAATAAATGGTCAGTTTCTGCAAAAATGGAAACATTTACAGTAATCAAACGAAAAGTAAGGAATGGCTTAGGCATCATTGGAATTTTGCAATAAGAGTGAAGCTAGCCACATACGCAAGGAATTCATTTTTAGATGGTAATTGTAGACATGGTAGACGAGAATGTCTTCATCAGGTGTGATTTGTGATTTACGCAGTTATTTTCAGGAATTAATATGATGAAACATAAGGTGGTATCGAAATATGACACCAATCATTTTATTCCACGTATATCTAGGAATAGAACCACTCAAAATGACGTTTGCAAGGTGATAATAATGATGCCCTTCGTGATTGGATCGAATTGAAATAGGACGCCCCAGGCCGCAACGTTGATGAATATTTTCCAAAAAGTTACACCTGAAGAACTACATTTGTGGGAAGTGTACGTGAAAATTCTTGAATCCTTTCAGTACTGTAATGCATCCAGGTTGATCACTCTTAAAGAAGTTATGTAAGTGGCGGTCATACGTAAGTGTGATACAATCATCTGCTTGTTTGGAGTTCTGCACACTCCAGAGAGAATCTAAATGGCTTGCGTACTCCCTAGTCGTAAACACCATCACAATCATGTAAACGCGACCGGAGGATCAGCGCGATGTTATTCGCTTCATAGAGCGGAAATTATTTAGCCATTATGAGATTCACCGAAGAACGAGGGCGGTATACAGGAAGGACTGCTTGTCCTCAACCGCAACAAAACGATGCTGCAAACTTTGATATTTGCTGCTGACCTTGAAAGACGACGAGTGGCCAGGCCTGACAATTATTCAATTTGATGCCTCGTTGAGGAATAATTGGTGAATGTCATTTGATGAGTTGGCCGATGCCATGCACAATAGCGATGAATCGTTGCGCATTTCCATTCACAAATATCTACCTCACCGGTAATTGCGTGTACAGTCGATACCAAAACGTCAGTCAGAGGAACAGAAAGAGCAATGCCATTGAGTGGCATTCATGCACCTGCTACATAACGGTGTTAAAGGTGACAGTTTTCTTTGACGTCTCTTTACTGGTGTATCTTGGAGTCACGCATATTAACGAGAAAGAAGCGCTAATTCACAAGGGTCTCCACCGCCAGATATCAGGTCTGCGCTAACGTTTGAAAAGGAATAGCTGACGTGCTTCTTTGACCTCTGTGCACCACTTCTCGTCGAATTTGCGATACGTGAAGAGACGGACAATGCAAAACCTTATACGCCCTTGCCCACTTTCATTTGACTGGCCCTTGCATATTAGTCACTGGACAGGACACTAGCTGTTAATGTTACATAATCAATCCGATTGAGCGTCATTAACAAGCTCAATTGAAAAGGGTCAAGGAGTTGTGCACTGTACGAGGAAATATCGAGAACATCCTTTTTCACCATCCCCACATCTCGTTGACCACTTGGAATTGCCCATCCTCATCTTCATATTTGCATTGCTAATCCAACCAAAACTAATGCAAGGAGGTCTCCAAATCGCAAAGAACCGACCATTTCTTCTGCTACTTTCAAAGAAACGAGACAGCAGCCCCCCTACATGCAAATACTTTAATTTCATTGAAATTTCCTTTATTGTGTTTCCTATTGGTCCTCTGAGACAAACAAATTTAAGGGCTTTTACTGTTTTAGGACTATTTTGTAGGAACTCATAATTTAAGGCAATATTCTGGAATCTCATGATACATTAATTATCTAGCGAAGCTGAAAAACAACAAAGCAATTTAAAAGATTAGAATTTTAATTACTTGATGGGATATAGTATTTAAGGATAGAATTTGCCAACTAACAAATTTCAAGGCACTAATTGATTCAAAACATGGAGTAGCAATAGAAAATACTGTACATATGCTTACAATCGCGTCTCGCTCCACAGCAATTAAAAAGCGTTGGACGAGAATAACATTTGCAGAGGATTGGTGACATCCATGCTAATTTCGTAGTAGGAGGCAAATGGCGTTCTTTGGTAATGCGCATGTTACGCTGAGGCATCTGTCGCACTTCTATGCAACTACCAGTGGGCGATAGCTTCCTGTAGAATTTTTTTTTCCCATTTCCAGACACTCTGGCCTTCATAAGGCTGTACATGTCGCATCCATGAACACAACTCCAAAGCGACCGAACATATCCGAAACATCATCTCCTCCTTTGTTGCATCACTTCTCTGCCATCCGATGCAAGTTTTATTCCTTCACTCCGAACCTTTTTTTTAGTATTTTTGAAATTGTTCTTCACTTCTTTCTGCTCTTTCTTGTCCTGCATTTGCCCATGCTGCAGCTGAGATTTTTGCTAGTGATATGAATCTATTGTCCATTGACACATGGATTCATATGTCGAATTGGTTTTTGTGGGAGCACATTTGAGATATTTATATACTGGTAATGTAATGAAATGTGAGAGAAAAACTGAAGCACATGACGTACATTTTCGTCGTTCGAGCACTTCTGTATCTCTCACGCCCGAACTTCCATGTTGCCATGTCTCTCATTCACTACCTGTGGGACTAAGTTTACGATTGAGAGTGTTCATCAATTTCAGAAAAAAATTATTTTAATTCATCCCAGAAACGTCCAATATGAATGACCAGAAATTTGACGAAGTACTATTAGATCGTAATGTATGAAATTTCCGATTTTCGGTTACTTAACAAGTGATAGCGATTGTGAATGCAGGAATTCTTCAAATTTTATCAGAGCTATATAGAGTTAGAAGAGGTAAGATGTGCTTAAGAATACGTCATTTCCAGTTAATTCTATTGCACCGTTATTTTGCTTTTGTATCTTCAAAATCTTCTTGTACTTCAAAATGGTTTCAGTACAAGAAATTCATGATCTTTTTTTTATACGATTATAAATTGAACCTTTGTATGTCGCAGGTAGCAATAAACATTAATGTTGCTTTTGGAGAAGGAAGTGCTAACGAACGGACTATTCGCAGGTGGTATGAACAATTCAGGAAAGGTGATGACACTCTTCAAAATTAGCCCAGGGGAAGACCGCAACCCAGGGGAAGACCAGGGGAATACACATAGATGACGACGAATTGAGCGTAGTATTAATACAACTCTCCATTCGTCGTCATCTATGAGTTTTTGCAGTCTTCCAATGAGCTCATTTGAAGACTTGCATCACCATTTCTGAATTTTTCATACCACCTGCAAATAGTCCGTTGTTAGCACTTTCTTCTCCAAAAGCAGCATTAATGTTTATTGCTGCCTGCGACATACAAAGGTTCAATTTATAATCGTATAAAAAAAGAACACGAATTTCTTGTGTAGAAACCATTTTGAAGCACCTACAACAAAACAAAATAACAGTACAATAGAATTAACAGGAAATTACGCATTCTTCAGCACCACTTACATCTTCTAACTCTGTATAGCTCTGATATAATTTTTAGAATTTCTGTATTTACAATAGCGATCACTTGTTAAGTAACATTTCATACCTGACGACCGAAGGAATTCCCTGAAATTAATCATCAGCCCACCACAAGGATTGCCGACAGGCCACCTTGGTCTAGCGGGTCAGATATAGACTAAATCATCTCCTAACTCATCCTAAAATGAATCCTCTTTTTGCAGCGGAAAAGTGGACCTCATTTCTTGCAAACCGACCACTCTAACATATGCCACTGATATTCCCTGTTCAATCGCGAACATTAACTCCATTTAGGTCAATCTTGTCCAGTACCATTGGCCTCTGTTCCAGGACGTAACATGTTTTTGCTCAAGAATCAATCATCAATGATGTCTTCAAAGACACATTCCCGTTACTTTCGCACCCTCAAAAACGCGAAGCCACTATATATGTTATTAGTTTCATGGAAAACAGGAGATCATCTACCCCAATTTGAAACGTAAAGCTGATTGGTTCTGCATGAGTACTTCAACTTATATTACTCATATTTTATTATAGACCTTTTGTGGTTGAAGAAGCCAAAATGATGTCTGCAGCATTTCTGATCATCGCTTCAGCCATGATCCTTGGCACTGGTCAGTGAAATTCGTGGTAATTAAAGAATTGCTGAAAGATAATTTCAAGGATGTGTGACTTATTTGACTTTCAGGAACTGCGCTTGCCGCTAAACCTCCACCCTCACCTCCCAATTCTACACGTGAGTTCAGCATCGATCACGTATTTTTCGTGAATCCGATCAAGCGTGCTCATGTAACCTTCCTGATGGCCATCCTCATTGCCTACATCTGTTTGATTGAAGTCAACTTTGAATTTAATGGTTGATAGGATTTTTCTTTTCATGTGACACCTAAAGAAAGGATTGTCCCTGCAGAAGCATGTCTTCAAGTCCTTCAATTTAAAGTTTCTTTAAAAAAAAAAATCTAAGGGTTTCCAGAAATGTGTTCTGGGCATTTAAAATGTTCTAAGAATGATCTTCCACCGAGATACCTCGATAGAGTGATTTTATAATTGATTTTTTTCTTCCCGCAGTTTACGAAGTCCCATCCATGAATCGCGGTCCCTGGAACGCACTCTATTTGCACAATTATTGCACGTCGTATGGATACAGAGGTGGCCTATGTTACGACCCCGTCTATTGCTGGTACTAAACACTCTGGGTATTGCTTATTCGTGTATGAGCCAGTTGAAGCGGAATAATAAAATGTGGTAACTGAAGTGAGATTCCTTCTTCAATACGATGACAATAAGCACGATGTAAAGTCGCTGATCGGAACACCTCGGAAAACGTTTAATACTATGCACTATGAAATTCGTACTCAACATATTTGAATAAAGAACAATGGATGGAAATCGTCCCTTGATAAAACGCTGGTAACGCTACCTTCATTTAAAAAAATAAAAAATGAAAATGATACTTGCCGGCTCCTCAAGAAATTAACTTGTACTGACACCTTTGATTCCCATAATTGATCTGCGATGTGAAGGAAATTAATCCGATTGGCTTCTTTGATATTAACAAGCACTTGAAATTTATCCAATTCCGGAAACAGAAGAGAGGGAGAGAGGGCGGGAATAGGGAAGGAGGAGAAATGAAAAAGAAACGGAAAAAAAGCTATTGGGAAAGAAACGATACGTATAATGTTTGATTTAGAAAGGATAACCGCACATGGAATCGCATTGGGTCATGTTGGAGACTGGTTGTGCTAGGTTAAGAAAAAAGAAGAAATGCAGGGACTGGGAAGCTCGGATTAACCGTCTCTCGAATCGATATATTTACTGGCGAATTTTGTTTGCCCTTCGGGCAAACAACTCACGATGGTCGCGGCTTCAGTGCTCCATTACCTTGTGCTAGGTTGTGCTAGGTGAAGCAAAGAGAAATGTTTGAAAATATGTTCCCCAAATAGGTGTGCCGTAATGGGATATATCACCAAAGTAGAATTTCCCTGAACTCAGCATGCGAATAGCGACTTGTGTCAGTTAGTCAGCTACTGACGATCCTGTACTAACAATGAAAGTAGAATTTTTCCTTTACTCAGCTATCCATCACATTCTTCTTTAGAATGTTTAAACTTTCTGGTGCCCTGTGTTTCGCTGGATCGAGAAAATACGCCTTTTGCAATATACGTGCCCTCAGGCATTTTAACCTTAAAGTACATTCTTTTTTCTTTTTTTTTTTACCGAAATCAATCCTTAGAGAACTATATGCCCATAATGTTCCAACGTAAAATGTCCTTTTCGCTGGTGGAAAAAACATGTTTGGAAATGCCGACGCACCTAATAGCTATGCCAGGAGGGGAGGCACCATCTAAGCTTAATACTCCCTCAACTCAATAATAATAATGTCATGTCACTTATGCATGTGCTAAGTTTCACCTTTCCATTTCTGTCCAATTCTCTACGACAAAATTTTTTTTTAAACATTGCCCCTCGAAAAAATTGGGAATTGAACCCGGGCCTCCTGATTGCCGGTCAGGTGTGCTACCAATACACCACCGAACACAGGTCATCCCGTCAACCCTCTCGATGCGATCCTAATCCGTCACACTATATATCTTTAAAAACTTCTACCCCCCAAAATGTGTACCACCATGGCATGTTACTCCAAAGTCGGATTTTTTCTGAACTCTGCATCCCAAATGGTACATGTGTACCAAGTTTCAGACTTCTAACTTCTCTAGAACATGGTTAGAAATAGCGTCAGTCAGTCAGTCAGTCACGATCGTCTATATATACAGTATTAGATGACAAACGAAATTAATCTGAAATAGGCACGGCAGTATGATATGTTGTTTCATTTCAAGGTAGTTCGTTCCGATTATATTTTAGGACGTATGCTCTAGTTTGCGCATCTCATAACATCATCATTTTGACATCTACCTAAGATTCTTCTTAAGGACAATGATTCATTAATCCATGTGTTAAAAGAGTTTCTATTCACTCAAAGTCATTTTCAGTATCCATCTTCCACAGGGTGGAAAAGTAATACGGGAATCTTCCCTACCTCCCCTTATAACCCATCCGCATCGTCTTCAGTTCAGCGGAAGTGAGTTTGTTTTCACTCGCACGCATTCTCCCTCCCTGGCCTACATCATTGGGTGGCTAGCCGCACAGAAACTTGAGTATGTTTCAAGCGGTTAAAGGAAAAAACTATTGATATTGAACTCATGGTGCTGTAATTCATGATTTACCAATGGAAATAAATTCATGATTTATGGAATCACATAATCATGGAATAACATATACGTCTTTTCTTGAAGTATAGTGCACTTCGAACCTGTAAAGAAGTAGCTCAAAAACTTGCCACAATTTCTTCATTTGACAGTGGGGTTTACATGCACCTTCGTTGTCCAAGTTCAGGTACTTCTTGATGGCAAAGAACTTGACCTTAGACGTGACTTAATTGAAGAATAAAATTGAAGAATTGCTTTCTTCTAAATGCGTTGCGTTCCTTAAGCGACCAATAATATTGGACAGAACGTTTGTACCGGGTATAGCAGTCGCATTAGGATATGGGTTGGAATATCCCCATATGGGCCAGACTTTACGAGATGTACTTTTAGGTCTTTTGATGCTGACAAATTAATGGATTGAGGCAGACGTGGTTTTCAGTCACGAAATGAATGTTTGGTAATTGGCCCTTTTCCAATCTCGCCCCCGTATATCATGATGAGATAAAATGTAACATTTAGCCATTATCTTTCAACTCAGTCTCGAGGGCGAAAGTGGAAGACACCCAAATTGTTTCCAAGATTGTATGATTAAGTAAGACTATAACAACGGTTTACGGTGACCGATCGATGTGTTGGGATTAGGACCTACTGTGCATAGACATCCCTACTGATGATGCTTTCCGGGGTTTTGAACTTCGAAGGCAATCTGTTCTCATAAATTTTAATGAAAACGGTTCGAAAAACTCCGGATTTGTGTAACGTTAATCATCCCCATGTGAGATATATCCAAAATAACATAATCAACTATTATTGACCTAATTTGCTCAGGAATCCCAGGATTGAGATTCTCTCTCAAACGAACAATGACAGACATGACCTAAAAGTTGGTTGTGCTTCAGTTGAATGTCAGTGAATCCCGTGGAGAGGAGAGGAGGGGGAGTTCAACGAACGTGAAAAAAAACTATGGACTCTACTCACAGAATGAAACGCTCGTAGAAATATCAACTCTGATGAATAGGTCCATCGAGACGTTGCCAAAGCCTAAAAATGTAGATGTCATTTTGCGACAAAGGATAGCCATGGAAAAAACATACTGCCTGGAAATACCCCGTTTCAAAGCATACCATTCTCACCTAGCATGTCGAACCTGCGTCTGTGCGTTCCATTGTGACATTGGAACCAGATCTGGCCAAGGAGAAGTTTTCAGGAATTCCTCGATCCTCGGAATTACACCTTCCATGGCATCAAGCGTGAGGAATCGATCTGACGTTATCGCCGAAACTGGAAGCCATAGCTGAACCTTCTCGGGAAAAATGGAAATAATTTATGTCTTGCTGGAGGAAATTCTTAGATGATAAACATTCATGTTAGGTCAATCGCGAAGAACGTCCACAAATGAAATAATGCCATTTCCGTTTAGGAAATATATATTAATGAAGTTGCCTCCTACTGACTGGGTGACAGCTGAAATATAACTTTTATCCCAGTTCTTTTTGTTGGCAAATTTTCACAGGATAAATTCATTTCATGCGATGAGGTTTACGAGGTCAATACCATGCAATATTTCAACTTGCACAATCGTGTATTAGTTATATTTATGTATAAG